TTGAAAGGAATACAGTAAAAATGAAAATAAAATATTAGTAAAAAATTATATACTAAAATAAATTATTCAAGTAAAACAAACGACAAATGTAATTTGATAAACTGGCTTCATATGCCAAATATTTCAAATTCAGCAAAGAAAAAACAATAGTGTATTCAAGACGTTTCGGCAGTATTATACCCCATAATTGTATTACTATCATGAAATCTTTAACATATTTCATTGTAATTTATTTACTAAAATCATTGTAATTTATCGTGTAAAAACAACCTATAAAAACCTCTCATTTATATAAAAAATACAATATGACCAAAAAAACAATTAATTGAAGTGAAAAATAAATAAATACAGCAGAACAAAGACTAAACATACTATAGTGTATTTCAGAAATTTCGACAGTATTTTTTATTGCAGTATTTACTACTCGTCTTAACAATGTTCATGTCGAAGTTTCCGCCACTAAAAAAAATTGCCATTCATAAAATTTCAGGTTCGAAAAATGTCAAAGTTTTCACTTCATTCAAAGTGTCAAGTTGTTAACGCTAGTTCCTCAGAAGTTTGAGTTAGTAAGTTGCAATTTGAAGATACATAATTTGAAGTTTTGTGATAATAGCCTGATAACTCAAACTTTACACTTCTGATTACCAAGAAAATGTTTTGTTTCGTTATTTTTCTGCCAGTGGCTTAAACAATCATCCATACAGTGGAAGAATAAAATGGTGGGAGCTGCAGTTACACACATTCACCTATGAGGGGCAAACTTGTGTTCCAGCTATTCGTGGATTCTACCACTATAGAAGCAAGAGAAGAAGAAGTCTCCCGCCCCATCCGCCTGTTGGTTTTAAACAGAGGCGGGACGGTGCTCGGTTCACTGCGGTCCGCGGATTTCAGGCAGGAGTGTCGGTTTACTGTAAAACCCGCTGCCAACATGGTGAGGACAAAAGCCGATAGTGTGCCCGGATCATACAGAAAAGGTACGGCAACAAGTTAAAGGCATTCAATCAGGATTTAGGTCTTTAAAGCTCGTTTGTACAAGAACACGTCTGTTTTGTAAGGTAGTCTGGCGGGCAGGCGGCGCTGAGCCAAAGCTGGTAAAATCATACAAATGTAGTCTCGAAGAAGAGTAGTTAACGTATTATATTTATTTTTTACACTAAAATAATTGAAAGAAAACTGTCAGCTGCAGTTTGTGTGTAAATCCACCGCACGGCTTCCTAAAATCAGCCTCCCGCCAACACGGAGGCTGGTCTGCTGCCCTCTCGGGTTCTCCGTGAGAGGCGAAGATATTTAAATTAAAACATTTAATTGTTGTTTTATCATCTGAGTCAAACGTTCTAGCTTAATGTTCTCATTCATCTCACGAGGTGTCATCTTTAATGACCCTTTCCTAAAGTTTGTACGACGTTTACTGCAAACTGGCGCCAGTTTTGAGCGCCGCGGTGCGTCTTTGTGCGCACGCCTCACAAAAGTCCATTCGCATATTAAATAATTACCGCGTCTCTCTTTACCATAGATGCCACGCGTGTTACCGTCCATAATGGATGCATGTTTATTAAGTTCTGGGACCTTCTGGTGAATTTGGCTTACATTTTTTTCCAACACCCAACGGATAAGAATTAAAATTCCGACCCGCTCTGCTTCCTTAAAGACCCAGTTTAAATGGCAGTGAACGGCTCTCATTCACTCTGCAGCTATTTTAGGTTTTTAACAAGCTTTCTTTGAACTTTTATTTAACATTCTGCAAATGAGACTTTACTCTCTTTATTTGGCTCAGCTTTGGTCCTCGGTGAACTTGGACTGATTGAACTGGTTTCTTACTGGATCCTTCATAATCAGCTGGTTTCATGCATTTCATTTGCAGCTGTTGCAGCTTCTGCCCCCCGGAAGTCTCTGGGTGCCAGTTCATCCAACGCCGCCTCCAGCAGCCAGTCCCCCACACCTGGTCAGTCCTAGTTTCACTACACACACACACACACACACACACACTTCACGTACTGAGGCTGCTGTGATTGTTGTAACTTGCAGCAAAGAACAAATACGCCGGTGGGAACCCCGTGTGTCCTCGTCCCACCCCGACCTGGCAGAAGGGCATCGGGGACTTTTTTGGCGGTCCCCCCAGGAAGGTGGAGAAGGAGAACAGGCGGCCCCAGGAGGTGGAGGATGATGAAGAGGCCGGAGGCAGCGGGATGTCAAAAGCCAGCAGGAAGTATGTGTTGTGCTTCATTTTAAACCTCTTCAGGGAACTTGCGTCCCACCTCCCAAACTCCATTTAAAACACACACAAAATGAGAGATGAAGCTCAGCCGAGGTTTGCTGCTGTGTGATGAGCCGTTAGTTTCACCTCAGATTATTTCAGTGTGGAGCTGTACCTGCTGCTGTGGGCCAGGCTAGTACGCTAAAACACCAGCTGTGTGCTGGTGAGATGACGGGGAAAACATTTGAATGAATGCTGTATGAAACTAAGGCCGGTGTCAACGGGAGCTGATGCTTTCCCATACCCAAAGAGCGTGATCCAGAGTTTGGATCGGCATGAAGCTTTATATGATCACTTATGGATCAGGAACCTCTCTGTTCAGTCACCCATCAGAGGCTGGTTTCTGATGGTTCACCGGAAACCTTCAGCAGAGTCTGCAGCTATCAAATGTAAAAACGCAGAGATGGAGTGCTTTTATTTTGAAAAATGAAAGCATTTTAACTCTGCAGGTTTGTTTTAAAAATTATATTCCCTCATGGTCATTGAGTTAAAGCAAACGGCATCAAGTGGTACCAGGAAACTCAAAGTCCAGTTTATTAACACTGTAGCCATGCTTCTCAGCTGATTTTTGTCCCAAAAACACCTCAAATACAGCAGCTGACGATAAATCAAATCGTTGCTTTTATAGCTTCAGACTCGCCTGTCTGGACTGATCGCAGCTCCTTGTAGGTCTTGAAAGTCATTAAAAGTTAAAAACTGATATTAAATAGTTTTAAATCGATCAAAAGTGAGACAGCTGAGACAGTTTGGTTCAAACATGGCTGAGTAACTGATTGCTGCATGGATGATGCTAAAATCTGAGAGGCCTCAAACTCGCCGCTGACGCCGCTCGACTGACTGACAGATTTTCTTTATTCAGGACGTGGCGTTTATGTTCCAGCGCCCTGTGGGAAGTTTGACGCTGATCAGTTTGGTTTTTGTCCGCAGAGCCCGGCCGCTGCCCGCTGAGGATGAGGACGACGACTGAAGCCTGGATCAGTCTGACTGCTGATGTACATCTGTATATAAATTCTGCTCAATTCACGCTGTATAGTTCAATGTTTTTTACGTACAGAATGTCTGTTTGAGTTCATCTGGATTTTGTCTTTTTTACTAATAAAACTTGACTAAAAACAAACATGGCCGTCTTTGGATGAGGACACTGACTCAAACAGTCCAAAACTGAGCTTTTATTTATGCTGTCAAGATACAGATCAATGCTCCTGATTAATCAGTTTGATTAATAAAATCAGATTCCTACAAAACCAGAACAAACGTTAAACACAGCTCTTCTTTGTCTCCTCTTCATCACTGTTCGTGATTGAAGCCGAGGAACGATCAGCGTTCTCAGGTTAACGGCGCAAGGACTGTGAGTCCGTCCATGTCCAGCTCCACAGAGTGGACGCTGAAGTCTCCCAGACCCTGAAACACACCAGAAACCATCAAAACAGGACACATGGTCAGGAATTACTCTGCTCCGCCAGAGCAGCTTAGCATGATTCACAGTTCAGAATAATCCTCCTGTATCACACGCCAGCCCCTTAGAAAACAAGACAATTTAGCTCCTCCCACCTTAAGCTTTCTTCTTCTGATTAGACGCCTCTCTGTGACATCATCCACACTGAGCTCATTATAAACTTTGTTTTACATTAGCAGCTCTGACATGTTTCGAACTAAAGATTTTAAATCTGAGTTAAGCTTTAAAACTAATGATGACAGGGTTTGAGGCCCCAGCCAGTTGTGAAGTCATCTTTCCTGACTAAAGGTCAAAGGTCAACTGCTTTGTAAAAGCTTTGCTGAACAAACCGTACCGTCTCCTGTAAAGAAAACCTGTGAATGTGTGTGTTTATTAAAGCTGAGCGACATCAAACGGAGACATGTTGGACTCGCTGCTCCGCCGTGTGGTTCAAAGTGGTATTACATGAATGTACAGCGTAGCGCTGACTCAGGTATTTATGTTTGTTCTATTCATAGACTAGAATAAATTTGACCTCTGACCCTGACCAATTCTTACCGGCATGTTGTTGAGGACCTGCAGCACCGCCTCCCGCTGTCGGGGCTCTCGAGTCAGCAAGTAAAGGAAGCCGCCGCCACCGGCCCCGGCCAGACTCTGGCCCAGGACCAGCGGCCTCAGGGCCTCCATCATAGCGCGCACTGACGCTGGCTCGCAGCCCGGGGCCATCAGCTTCTTCTGCTGCCATGAGCGGTCCAGACACTCCCCCAGCCTGGACAGAGAACCTGTAGAGGAAGTGGTCATTTAGCCTTTCTGAAACCCACTGACGTTGGGCACACTGCATTCTGGGAAATGTAGGAAATATCCCACTGAAGCGTCTCACCGTCCACGCAGGCCCGAGCGCACTCCTCTGAATTACACACCAGCTGCTGGGCGTTCTGCACCATCGACGGCAGGCGGCTGTACCAGCTGCGGACCACATCCTGCAGGACACACATCATCATCACCATCTTCATCTCAGCAGCTTTATTCCAACCCTGAAGGCTCTCTGTTACTCGGAGTCGCTCTGCTTGTTTTTACCTTGACGAGTTTCACTTTTCTCCTCTTTTACTTCATGAATCGACTTTTGTTTTTAACATGAAAGAGGAGCTGAGAGTGGAGCAGACAGAAAGAAAGGAGAGCCCACTCCAACAGATCCACCTCCACCCTCGCCTGCACCTCCACCCTCGCCTGCACCTCCACCCTCGCCTGCACCTCCACCCCCCTCAGGAGAGAGATGTACAGACTCCGGCCAGGCAAAGCTGCTGCCCCTGATGGCTCCGCCTTCAGAGATTCTGGAGACAGGAAACCTCAACCCGCCATCTGAAGCTGGTGCAGTTTGTCTACCAGCCCTGTATCAGTGTGGAGGATGCCACCACCACCATCATCATCATCATCATCATCATTGTGATGTCTGATCAGTCCTGGGAACAAAGACGTGCAGCCAGACAACCCGACAGGTGGACCGCAGTCTGAGCAGCACAGGTGATTTCCAGCCTCCAGGTACATGCAGCAGGATGATTACAGGAGGGTGGAGGACAGATGTGAGCTTAACCATCCTACGGCCCCCTCTCTCCCCCGTCAGTGGGTGAGGAGGGGGAGGAGTGCTCCTAACCTGTCTTTAAAACTGCTGAGGAGCTGCACGTCGTGGTGCTGCCAGTGTTTTTTAAGCAGCAGAATTAAGGAGCGTGCTCGTACACAGAGAGCGTCTCATTGGTCGATCCTGAAAGTACCCACCTGCAGCAGATTTCGGGCCAGCCGGGTCTTCCCGGTGTAGACCAGCAGGAGGTGCTGCTCCAGAGCAAGCGAGAACTCCTCAGGAAGACTGAGACGCTGCACCTGCACCTGCAGGGGGAGGGATGCTCTGGATCGACCCACCTTTACTCCGCCTACCAGACCGCCCACCTGATCCTGCCAGCCTCCACCTGCAGGAGGAGGAGGAAGATGAGAAGGAGCAGGAGAAGGTGTTTAGTGATGAAGGGCGTGACAAACCTGTGGTAAGAATCTGCTCCAGGTACAAAACGGCGTGGATCAGGGAGTCCGTGTCGTAGGTTCGCCTGGTACACCTGTACACCGCGGCCAACAGCGCCCCCGCCAGGATGCTGCTGGTACCTGCAGAAAGAGGACCAATCAAAGTGCTGAACTCCTCCATCACCTACAAGCTCTGTTTCCTGTTTCTCACCCAATCCCGATCCCGTCGGCAGCTCCGACCAGCTGTGGAGCTCCACCCCTCCTCCCCACCGCTCCATCAGCTGATGCCCCAGAGGATGCTGGGAGGTCAGGGACACCAGCCCACTACAGACACACACCGCCTTCAGCAGCGCTCCTGTAACACACAGACACACAGTCAGCTTCCCACTTCCTTCCTGTCGTCCCAGTTTAGCCGGTAAACGATGTACCGGGAGCGTGAGGCTGACTGTAATCCGTCAGGTCATCCAGGCTGTCGCATGCCGTCTCCGTGGAAATCCCACTGCTCCGCCCTCCAGTGTAGCTGACCAGCAGGAGGCGGGGCTCGGAGATGCGACGTGCTCTAGCACCAATAGGACGCTTCCCGTCGACCTTCACCGCGACGTTTGTGACGGAGCCCCCGTGCTCGAATGCGATTGGTGGAGTGTCACTCCAGCCGCCTGAAACACAGATACAGGGTCAGCGTCTAAAGGACCAACTGCCCCTGAATGCACCATGAACCTTTATCCAATAACCTGCTAAATCCAGCCGAGCTGGACACTCCACTTCCTGCCACTGTCCAAGGGGCTGGACTTTGCCCTGTCCAATGGAGATGAATCTCTGAGATGACATCACAGCCTTCCGTAACAGCACCTGTCCGGCGCCTTCGTAGTGCCGCGCCGCCCGCACCAGCAGATCAGGCCTGTAGGAGGCAGCGACACCCAAGGCGTTTACCATCGTTATATCAGCCAGACCATGTGACACAAACAGTGCAGCGCCCACCTGCTGAGCCAGCGCTGCCGCTGCACGGTGAGTGCGTGGACTCCGCCCCTCAGGTCACCCTCCTCCAACATGGCGTAGGCGGAGCTCCAGGCTTCATTAGCCGCTGGCCCGCTCCTCAGACCTCCCTGCCCGCCGGCCATGCACACCAACACGTCCGCGATGCAGGAGAGACAGCGGGCAGCCACGCCCAGATCTGCTCCGAGCTCCGCCCCCTGCTCATTGCTCCCTGCAGCGACTGAAAACAAACGAGAATTACCAAAGGAAGTTTCCTGAAACTGGCCAATCAGAAAACGTATTTGATACACAGAAGGAGGAGCCAAAACTGCCTGTTTTTATGGTCCAATCATAGAGGAGCGGACACTCACTGCTGTCCAGAGCTTCCAGCAGCGCCCCCTGCTGGCCTCCCAGCACAGCGGCCCTGAAGCAAGGCAGCAGGCAGACGTCCGAGCGCCCCCTCAGGGCGTCGGCCACACGCCGCCTTCCCACCAGGAACAGCAGCTCCTCCCTTCGCTGTAGCTCCGTCTCCTGGTGGGTGAGCAACAGCACCTCCTTCAAAGAAAGCCTCCACGCCTCCCTCCATTCTCCCAGGCAGCCGCCTCCCCCCAGCAGCCAGGTCACGCCTCCCTCTAGACCCACAGCACCTCCTCTGGGGTGGAGGACTGGGAAGAGGCGAGCCTCCAGGAGGGAGCGCCGTTCTCCTCGAACCCACAGCTCCTCCGACCTGAGGACACGCACAGAGACACGACCGCACACATGTGACATTTGTGGAGGTCAGGAGGTCAACGATGTCATTAATATGACTAACATACTGACATAAAATCCAGAAGATGCGCATGTCTCAGCTCAAACTACATCAAACAGATGGAAGTTTAACTGTTTCTGAACTAAAACCTGAAGCTGTGCAGCCGAGGACACGGCGTGAGGAGGAGGAGGAGGAGGGAAAGATGAAGCACATCTGGTCTTTTACCTCCACAGTTCTTTCTTGATTAGACTAATCAATCATATTTTTGTATTTTTTAATTCTTTTATTTTTTTATAAATCTCAACATTTCCTGTTTGTATTTCCAATTCATTTCCAGTGTTGAACATAAATAACATAAATTATGAATTTTTTAATGAGGCTTTTATTGTGAAGTTCTTCAACTTTTTATTTCACTTAAATTCAGTTTCATTTACATATGGGGGGGGGGTCTTACTGTATTCCCGTCCTGCTGTAGAAGTTGTTCCACGTCTGGTTGAGGAAGGAAGCGCTGCTGTCGTCAGAGGAGATCTGAGGAAGAGGAGGAGGCATCAGATAACACTGGAACGCCACATACGCCCTGAGGAGGCGGCGGCGCAGGAGAATATAAAGATCTCCTGTGTTTTACCTCCAGGTCGTCGTGCGCTCCCATCACCGTGTAGACGTACAGCTGCAGCTCCCCCAGCTCAATGCGATGTCCCTGGATGATGATGTCACTGCTGAGAGGGAGGAGCCGGACACTTGGTGAGGTCGACAGCGCGAGACCCGACAGCAGACAGCCTGTTGGGACGTCCAGAGGACCCTGACGGTCAGACGGTGGACATGTTGACACGTTGTCTCCATAAAAAACACTGACTTCCTGCTTCTGATCTAACATCATGTCTGGAGAAACACGCAGTGTGGAAATACTCGGCTCAGCTCTCAGAGTGCAGTCAGAATACAGTCTGGGTCTGAAACTCCTCCCCACCTGTAGGTGGCAGTGTTGCACCACTGCTCCTGCAGCCACGGAAACGGCTCCCTCCAAAACGCTATTGATCACCCGACCTCCTTCGCTCAACACGTCCTCGTTCTGATGAAACAGGAAATGGAGTTAAACGCTTGTTGATTGATCAATAATGGAGGCCTGACCTCTGGTGGCCACAACATGAACTGCAGTCATCGCTGAGCTTGCGTGACATTTGTCTCACTAAATGAACCCTCTGTGAATTTTCCGCTGATGATCAAATGTGGAAATAAGCTGTCGTCCTTCAGTCAGAAATCATCCCACGTCACATATGGAGGGTCGAGAGAATAAACAATTCAAAATATGAAGTCGTTTTATTTTGAAAACTTATTATTATTTTGCAGTTCAGAGAGATCCTAGATAATATCCCGATGGAGTGGCAGAGCCTCCGCTGGGAAGTCTTTGGACACCGGGTATCCCAGAATGCATTTCAAATTAAGTCACAGGTGCATATGTACTGTCCCTTTAAATAAAAACATTAAAAGAAAAGCTTTGAAAGACGTTTGGGACACACAGC